CTGGGCCATGGGAGTGAAAAGAGGGAGGAGAACAAAGGCTGCTTGTTGCCAAAGTTTCTAAGTGCTACCTGCTTCTAAAGTGGGCCTTTCACCCACACGAAGCCAGAATCTTGTTCCTAGATATTCACCCCCCCTCCCCACAAAAGCCACCAACCTCCATGACGCTTCCCCCAGTTTTAGTCCTCTCCCAAAGGGCCAGCTCCAAATTCACTGGTGTGGCCAGGAAACAGAAGCTGAGGTCAACCTGCTTCGGGCATCCAAAAGCAGATGATTGTTTTGGCGGGCGGGGAGGAGGGCGTGAGCCAACCGCGCTTCGATGTCAGCAGGTCCGAACCCCGAACCCTCCAGGAGATCTGGATGCGTGGAACATGCCAACAGCCACCCCAGGAGGAGAAGGGACAGTACAGGAAAGGTTTGTGCCTACTCCTCTCCTGGCTGAGAGGCGGAAGCGGGGTCTGACAGCCGGGTCTGGCCAGGAGATACTAATGCCCTGAAATCTGGCACGGAGAGGGGAGGAAAAACCTGCTAGCTGCATGAGGCTCCTTTACATACGTGTGCTTACAACCTGGCCTACTTTTGGCTCAAAAAGAAGGAAGAGGAGGGAGGCTATGGCTTTTTGATCGGTTAATGGTTTGCACAGAGTCACGGAGAGGAGTGCAGGCGAGGAGGAGGAATCTGGACAGCAAGAGGCGGCCAGCGGCAGGGAGCTGATGGTGCGAGAGAGCCCCCGCAAGGCCTTGCCTGGAGAGCCAGTCGTGGTCCCTGACCTCAAAACTTCTTAGGGCCCCAAACTGATGCCTGCTTAGGGACCACACCGGTGCCAAAAATGGGGAACTCTTCGGCACTGCTCACATCTGGGGCCTGAAACCACATAAAAGAAAGACGAGAGGTTGGTGAGAGTCAGGCTGAGAGCACATGCTTGCTTTAGGCACCACAAAAGGAAGGGGGCACTCTGTATTTTCTGCACTAAGCAAGCTGAGGCTGCACAGCCAGTGCATTTTGGCTCTGCTCCTTAAACTGTATCTATTCCAGCCAGTGATTGTAAGAACGTACAATTAAAAATGGAAATCTCGGTTGCTGAGTTTGTTTTTTCCCCTTCTTTCCTCTGGTCTTACTGTCTTTTAGATGGTAAGCCCAAAAGCAGAGCCTCTCATATAAATAAGGAATTAGTGACTGGGAGCCTTATTCAATAAGATAAAAAATTAAACATGCATCGAGCATTCCACATAATATTTCTTTTTAAAATCCCAAGACACTAGGTCTCATGTTTCTCAAAATAACAACAGTAACAATAATAATAATATGGAACTAGGGAGCTGGTTGACTGAGTCCTCCAACTCTTTATCAACTTAAGATATGAAGCTGGTCAACTGGTTACACTGAGTGGCTATCAGTTAAGGAAGGACTACAGGTGGTGTTGAGCCCAACCTTGTTCCCAGATGCATTCCAGGGGGCATCACGCACTACAAAGCCCTTGGCTGGGCCCCGAGGCTCCTCTTCCAAGCGGGAGGGGGGCTTCATATAAGCAGCCATGGTTTCCGTTTCCACCACATCCATCATCTGTAATGAGACATCTGTCCATTAAGAGCCAGAGAAGAAATTGTTGATATATTCAGGGGCTCCTAGCCTATAAACAGTAACTCCCAAACTTATTTTGGAATAGGGGCGTCATGCCTGTTCTTGCCCTCTAAGAGAGAAACAGCCCAGAGTTTTGTTCAAAGAGGAACTGGACAGGTGCCTTTGGAGTCCACTGAAGTTGTGCTGGGCTCATAGATTGTAAGGCTGAACACCTTGTTAACAAACCCACTGAGCTCCAAACCTTCACACTGATTCATGCTGGTTATTATAGGCAGGGCAGTTCCCACCACCTCACAACCCTGCCCTACAGGCAACTGGCATAATGTCAGGATGGGTCTGCAGAATAACATGTCCTTCCTGTTCTTGCTTGAAGAGGGTACTTGATGGCTTCCCAAGGTACAAATAATAAGAAACTCATTTCCTTCAGACACTGCATTTTGGGGACACCCGCCCACAATATGCAATTGCTACGTTCATACAACATAGTTAACCTGATTACTGAAGCAACCCATTGTCAAAGTACCCACCATACACTCAGGCATTAAACTCATGAAACAAGTTGGATCTGTACAACCTGACAAGCTCTCCCCAAAACCCAGCCAAGATTAAGACTAACCAAGCTTACTCTTTTATTCAAATGCACCTGCTAGTCAAGTCAGGGATGTTGTGCAAACACAGTCAATGACTCTACCTGCCATCTACTGGTGGATGGTATGGTGATGTTAACAGCATGAAGGAAACCCTTGCTGGAAGAGGCTGATATGCTAGTTAATTCCCATCTTGGTGCCTCCAGAAGTGTTGCCTTCATCTGGGAATTCTGTGAGTGACTTCTAGAGAAGTCAGGGTTGGGAGATGCAGGCTTACTACCCTTCTCTGCTTCCTTTAGTGGCCTACAAGATGCCTTCAGAAACTCCCAACCAGGATATGAAAACAGCAGGTCTCTCTCAACTGACATTTAAAGATCGTATGGTCTCCAGATGAGAAGTTCCCAACAACAAGATGCTGAGAGTAAGGAAGATGACCTTGATGGAGATAGACCAGGTCCATTACCAGAGTGACAAGAGGAAAAAAATGGCTTAAGCCCAAAACAAGAACTTGTGCCAAAACAACTCAGATGGACATTTCCCTAATTCACATGAGTATGGGGCGAGGGGGGGGAGGAAAACACAGACAGACTTTCTGTGTAACAGTTCTGTTACTATAGCCAATATTAATAAAAGTAATTTTAGTTTTCTTGTGGAATTGATTTCTTGGCTTGGTCTACACAAGAGCAGGAGACTTGAGAAAGGTTTTTCATTGGGAATCGGATCTCAAAGCTGCCCTCAGTAGATCTACAGCTAATGGGGAGATGCTTCCCCTTCCACTCCCTCTGTTCATTCTTCAACCATTTTTAATCCCGCCCCCCCCCAAAACCCATACAAATTCCATCTCACGTATTCCTCTTCCAGGTTAAGCATGTGGTCAATTGCGTCATCAACGTTTTCAGGCAGCCCCGTCACTGTGACTCTGTCTGGGTCACTGGAGCCCGGCTGCGGGAAGCGGATATCCACCTGCCAAGAGGAGAAAGCTGTTTGAAATAAAATAGCCCCTACCTGACCTTGGCTGATCTCAAAACGCTAACTGAGGAAACCCCAGAGCTCGAGGCCAAACTGGGAACTTAAAATAAGGGCAAACCACATTTGTCCTATGGCCCAAGCAAATACACAAAATCAAGCTCAACTTGAAGAAGATTTTACTTTTTAAGAAGGCAAATGATAAAGAAAAAAACCTGGCTACCATTTTACTCAGCCACCCTTGTGGTAGCAAATGGACAGGGCAGAGGCTGAGATGGGGCACAAGAGCTTTGTTGCTTCTTTCCCAGAATTCCCTGGGAGGGGAAAGTCCATCACCATAAGCCTTCCCCTACCCGGAATTCTTCCATGAGTTTGCGGATAGCTTTGCCTCTCCCACCGATGATGCGGGCGTGGACCCTGTGATCCAGGCGGACATCTTCACTGACCATCTCCTCAAGATCAGCCACAATTTTCAAGATGGCATCTCGGGCAGCCTCGGCATTTTTCTCGTAGCCGGTGATTGTGATTAGATCCTTAGAGGAGGCAGAATGGAAGGAAAGCACAGCACAGCAATATGAGAGAGAAATAATTTAGAGGGGTCTCAACCCTCTGCAGTTCCCCACTCTGTACAGATATGCATTTTGTCTCAACCGGGCCAGGAAACCCGAAAGCCCATCTTGACTTAGCTGTTCCGCAACGGTGCTAAGAAACCTTTGCTTTCCTTGTGAAACAACCCGCCTCATTTGAAGGCCAGCTATATATTTCTCCATAACACCCTGGGGTCACACACTCAAAGAGGGAGAGACCCCCACCTGATTCTCATCCCCTTTGTCGGGGAACTGGACAGTGACATCATGGTCCTTACGGATCTGGGAAATGACAGCCCCTTTCTTGCCAATGATCTTTGGATGGTACTTGGGTTCCACGCTCACTGTCAGCCTGAACCCTCGCAGTGCCTAGAGAGAAGAGGAAATCAGTAGGTTTGGGCTAGTTAGAGAGGCCCTGCCACTCTTTGGGGGAGACATGGGGCGAGTTCTGACTTGCTCAGCACTGGGAAGTACCCGATCTTCCTGCTCAGCCTGCAGTTCTCTGACCCTGTCCAGGAGGCCGGCCTTGGCTCGCTCCACGTTGGGGACGAGGCCAGTGACCTTGATGATATCAGACTGCTGTTCCGGTTGTGGCACTGAGATTGTCACCTGCAGAATGGAAAACCATCACGTTAAAAAACAAAAGTGAAAAGATGATGGGTGTAATCTGTTTAACGGGCAGCACTGCTGTCAAACGAGTCTGCCAGATCCGTAGCTGCTACAGAACGAAGGGGCCACGTGGTCTCGGCCCCTTACTGAGTGAGATCATTTGAGTTCTAATTTCAAAATTCTCTGCGATTTTCTATTTGAAATGTCCCCACAAACAGAAATTAGCAGAGCAAAGAATGTACCAAGCTAGAACCTTTCCCCATCAGATTGGCTTCCTGGACTGGCAGATGTCTTGTGTCTTATCTTGAACAAGTTGGCTTTTCTATGTTCCTTCCCCCCCCCCCCGCATCCCAGAATCATTAGCCAATGGCTGTGTAGGTAGGGGGCTACTAGGGAACCGGACCCCCAAGAAGTCCTTCTCTTTGTGTATGGGGACTCTAACTTTTGCAACTGGTATTTTCCATTCCCCTGCTGACGCCAGGAAAAACTGCTTGGAGAGACACCCATCTGTGTCAAGTTTCCCCAATCTCAAATTGCCCTTTGTTTCAAACTTCCTGTATCTTTTCAGCATTCTTTCCACGGGGTGAAAATGCACAGGCATTAATTGTCATTTCCCCCACTGAATTAGTTTTGCACTTAAGGGAAAACCCCCCAATGGCGTAAGGGGACAACAGAGACTCTATTCCAGTAAACCAATTAGCTGCTTGAGATATAATTTCGAGACATTTATTAAGGCTGGTCAGGACTCTCCTCACTCACGTTTATTAGTCTTATTTCTTAAAAAATAACTTATACCTCCTTTCTCTTCCAAATCGCTTAACAGGGAGGAAATGCAAAGAAGCCATCAACTTACATATCAAGGATTGCTCACATTACAGCAGAGGCAGACATTAAAAGGTGTAAGGGATGGAAAATATATCCTCAGCGGAAATAGCTTTGAAGGTGAACATGCTAGCAGTGGGGCCCGGTTGAAAAGGATCACTTCTAATCCTGTTTGGCACAGCCTAGGCAAGATAGGATGAAGTTGCTGGGGCTGGGGCTGTTCCGAGGTTTCTCTGTTGGCCATGCCTTCATTCGGTCTGCTTTGAGCTTACATCCACTAATTATAAGATGTGTTCTCTGTCAACTTTTCAAACATTCTTATACTGGAGCACGATGTTCCTCTATGGTCTGTATTTAGTAACATGTTAAAGGGTTGAGCTTGTGGTACCTTAATACTTCTCACAGGGACTTGTTCTACGAATCTTCTTTTTCTCTCCCTCGCTCTCATCTTTTTCAGTTTATGATCATTCTTTTTGGTTCCATTATCACTGCTGTATTTTTTTTCTAACACTTGCATTAATTTCATTGATAAAATATAAGATGTTAAAAATATATATCCATGACTGGTTTTTTAATAACGTACTCCCACCCCAGCAGTGGGGGGGAAATCAGTTAAAGTTTGGATACATAGACATGCTTCTCTCTTTGAAAGAAAAAATAATCTGTTACTGCACCCAATACTTTAAGGGGATCATCTTTGAGCAATTATTTTATCTTTAAACATTCCTTTTGTTTTTCCTTGGATCTCTTAAAAAAGGCTTGACGTTTTTGACATTGTGCAAGTCTACTATGTCACGGTGGATGATTCACAAATCAGTTACAACTTGTCTTAGTCATGCAACAAAGCTATGATGAGCTAATGTTTGCAGGCATTCATATGTAATATGAATCAGGTTTGCTTCAGAAGTCTCCCTTAGCAAAGAGTTAACAGTTCTGCAAGCAACAGAACACCAGAACTGTCCACCACTTAAAGCCTGTCAAAACCAACACCTAGATTAAGAGCGCAGGTTTGCAAGTGGGATCGTGCACCCCTACCTCATATTCTTCCATCATCTTGCGAATGCCAGCTCCCTTTTGCCGAATGATGTAGCGATGCAGATCAAAGGGAACATCAACATCCATGGTGATGGGAACCAGAGCCTGGGGAGAGAGGAACATAGCAGATTCAAAAGTTACCTGCAGAGCTGTTTGTACTTCTGGTGTCTTAGTAATAGATGATTTCAGTGCACAAAAGCTATACGTTGAGGATTGAGGCAGGAGAGGTGAAAGTCAGCTGATTCTTATTATCCACCATATTCTTGAGAAAATGGAAGGCTGGACTGACTCACGTTTAACAGCCACTTTGCTTCCTCTTGATAACTGTCCCACCTCTTCTCTAACAGATGTCCAAGTATTCCCACATCTCCCTTGTCATACCAAAGTAGGCCTTACAATTTTTCCCTAACAATTAAATATTTTTTCTTGTTTTGCACCTCTAGCATGTAACTGGCAGTAAGTCTAGGCTACCTAGGACCAGAAGAGAACTGAACGTCAGCCAAAGGTGATGCTCAAGAGAATACTCGTCAGACTCCTTCAATTAAAAACTGGTTGAAAAATTAATGAGATCACCTGCATAGGTGGGTTGAACTAAACTGCTAAAGAAAAGGAACTCTTCCCTAACCCAGTAGGAAGACAGGATCCTAACCAGCAGAGCTGCCCGGGCAGCCTCACACTTCTCCTTGCGTCCGGAAATGATGATGACATCACATTTGCGAGGAGTGGTGTCCAGTTCAGGCATCACATCACCATTTTCCTGAGACTGTGCTTCTGAACCTGCTTGTGAGAAAAGCCACAGAATAAAAGAGGGGCTAAAAGAAGGCGCTCACTTTCTGGATTTGGGGGCTGACAACTACTTTACCCACCACCCTTCCCCACCCACCTGAATTGTCATCTCGCTCCGGGAACTTGATGAGCACATCATGATCCCGAGTGATTTGTTGCACCTTGTAACCTTTTGCTCCCATGACGACCCGATGGTAGCGCTGCGGGATGATGCATTCCAGAACCACTTGGGCCTCCTGGTGAAGGTGAGAAATCAAAGCCCACGCACTAGCTGAGTGCCAAGTAAGGGTGTATCACTTCTAAAAATATCCTTAGAACACCTTTGGAACCAGGGGAAGGAGGTTTTGTACAGAAACAAAACTCTTGCTAAGCCACCTATGCTGTTTCATAGGTGGCAACTTCTAGCAAGGATTGACTCTGCTTAGGCCTTGGATGAGCAATCACCAGGAACCCTCAACACTGTAGGCCACACTGAGAAGTTGACAAGTACCCCAGAAGAAAGGAATGACAATCCCCTTTCAAATTGTTGCCAAGAAAACTACATGGACATGTCTACAAAGTCACCAAAGTGGAGTTCAGCTCAAAGGAAACTTAAAATTATCCTAATTTTCCTATCATTTCAATTTTTTTTTTTTTAATAATGCATTGTAACTGATTCTGCACAGCCTGGAGAGCTCCGGTTAAAGGTTGATATGAATGATAAAATTTATCACTCTCATCGTCCTAAGGCATCAAAGGAAACAAGCATCAGAGCCAAGTTACCAACGCAGTTTGTAACATATTGTTTTATTTGCAGATTTGGTTATTGGAAGTGTGAACTTGAATTTACACATCAGGCTAAACCATAATGTTTGGTTGTCAGCTTAATTTGTTGGGTGAACCTAGTTACTAGGTTTACAAACCACAGCTTATAGTTTAGCATAATGTCTGGCCTTGATTTGGATAAAAGATCTACACAGCTTACTATCAACTCCCCTACAGGGCAGTGAGTGTGCAAATTCCTAGAAGACCTTACCCATCAGTCCCCACCTATTCCTTTTAAGGAGGAATGGCAAAAAAACTTCCCAAATGCAGAGCAGTTATAATTATTTCTCCCCACCCCCATGAACTAGAGATGATAAAGATCTATTGATCTTTTGGGTCTACCTCCATCTCTACCCACCCATCTTCTAGAAGACAGATGTTCTAAGAAAGGATCAACCTGCATCAAAAAAGTCAGAGCGATGGTGCTGTGAGATCTAGGGATTTGTTCATTAAATGGGACAGCATGAGATATATTCTCTGCCAGCAGGTTCCTGGTACAAGGATGGGAAAGGCTGCTTTTTGTAAGGTGAATCACACTCTGATCCATCTGGGAGACACTTTTCATGCCCACTGAAATCCAAAGAGAGAGCATGACTTACCAGGTCACTGATGATCTCTAGAATGCGCCTCTTGGCAGCCTCCACACAATCCTTGGCTCCCTTGAGCATCACACGATCGCTCTGGACACCTGTCCGGGGGAAACTCACAGTGACCCCACCGTACTCGTCTGCAATCTCCCGCAGCACATGTCCCCGACGGGCCACAAAATGGCGGTGGTACTTGGGATCCACCACCATCGAGTCTTCAATGACATTATCCTAGAGGGGAAGTAGTGGGTGGGGAACAGAAGGAGTCACTGAGCTTTCATGCTTTTTACAAGTTTTTCTTCTCCACCTTTCACAATTCTGTACCATCTGTGAAGAGACTATTTGGCATTATAGGACCATTAGCCGCAATATCTTTAGGAGGAATAAGTGGAGGCACTGGGTTTCATCACCTATAAAAACAGCAGTGCAACTCCTGCAGTCACAGCCATAGGATAAGGTTGAATGGAAGGAACGCAGGGCTTCACTTTCATCCAGCATCTCCCTCCACCCCACCCAGTAGATATACAACCCATACCAAGTTACGAATGAGACTCTCCAGCTCTTGCTGAGCCTGCCGTACTGCATCCTCTTTCCCCACAATGGTGATAACATCCTGGTCCTTATCCTCAGGGGTGGGGAAGATGATCCGGGCACCGGTGCGGTCCCTCACTTTGCGGATATTAGCACCTCCACGCCCAATCAGGAACTTGTGGTAGTCTGGCTTGGCGTGCAGTTCCAATGAGTGGTTATTGATTTGCTGGAGGAAGAGAAAATGGGCATGAATTAACTTTCCAAAGGTCCTCAAGTAATAGTCAAGAAGAAGAACAGCTTCTCCTGCCAATACTGGGTTCCCCACCTACTGCACATATGATTACTCCTGTCTTCTCACCAATAGTTCTTCCCATGCAGTTCTCCAAATGAGGCGGATATGGACCTGGCACAAGGATAAAGAGTTCCAGGAACTCACATCATTTCCCAGAATGGCAGGAGTGACTGAAAACAGAATCTGTATACCAAAAGGTCTCTTAACTACCTATTCCAAGCCTTGAACAGAATTAGATTTCCTACATTTAAGAGATTTGTGATCCAATTCTATGTTCTGTTTATAAGGAAAAAACACAAGGCAACGCTTAAGGAAAAAAATTCAGGTCTATGTAGAAAGAATACCTAAATCTTCAAATCTTTGGCAGCCAATACACTTCAGGAAAGGTATAGATTTAGTGTCAACTACAAGAAAAGACAGAGCCACCCAGAAACACAAAATGCTACAAGTGAAAACCAACTTAATTTTGTGTAGTGGATTCCAGATTTAAAGCTGGCTTCTTAAGTCACTTGTAGCATTTTGCATTTCTGTGTAGCTCTTTGGATTTCTTGTAGCTAACACTAAATCTATGCCTTTTCTGAAGGCATCTCTTTTATTAAAGTTAATTCCTCCTACTAGATTCAACTCAGCATTTGTGGAAGTTCCTAAGACTTTCCCTGTCCAAGCCAGGGCTAGATTAAGGCCAGCTGATGCCCTAAACTCAGTGGTGCCCTCAGCCCTTCCATTGCTTAGCTGATAAGACATTAAGACTCAGTGCTAAAGGTGAAATAAGATTAAAAATTCAGTTTTCTTCCAGGCCAGACCCACAACTATACTAAATATAAACTTTTAAAAATATATTATTTAGGTAACACTACATAGCAGTAAGCAATATAAGCAGATTATTTACATATAACAAAGCAGCAGAAAAAATGCAAATTTTCAACGCTTTTGAATGCAGTTTGAATCCAATTGTTGTAAGGGAAAAATGCAAATACAAACATTCATTGAAAACTGAAGTTGAGTGTGGCAGCTAGGGAAAACAACTTTTGGGGCTCCCCTTTCCTTGATGCCCTAAACCCAGGCTTATTTTGCTTAATGGTTAATCCAGGGCTGGTCCATCCCTTACCGGTTCCAGCCCTGTGAGGCAGTTGCCTTTGCACCTTCAGGACTGTTGTTCTTGATGTTCTTTGTTCTTAGGTCAAGAGATTAGCACCTCCCCAAACAATCAAACTGGTGATTGACTTCTATCAACCAAATACCTTTTCCTCAGCCAGATGTAATAGCTGGCGTTTTGCTCTCTCCACCTCTTCACCAGGTCCTCGGATGGTGACTTTCTCACTGCCTGAGCCTTCTGAAGGGAAATGAATGTGCACCCCACCGCATTCCTCCATGATTGAGCGCACCAGCCGACCCTTGGCCCCGATCAGTGAATTGTGCAATTTGGCTGGGATAGAGATATCCACTTCTTTGATGTTAGCCTGAGAGCAAGAAGAGAAGGGCTACAAAATCCAAGTTCAAAGTAAAAGATAGTCCTTCCCCCCCAACCCCATACATCATGTTGGATTTCTTTTCCTTATTCCAACAAGTGATGTCTTTTGGTGAGGGACTTAGCAGTAATGTATCAAAAATGTACTAGAAAAAAATGAAAAGTCTGGGTCTAAAAATGCATAAACCGAAAAAAAGGCGGAAGGATTCAAATACTTTTATTTTTAAAAAGGTGCAAGCGTAGGACAGGCTTGACCTGGTACTCACTAACAATATGAAAAGGGACCAACATGACTTGCCATCTAGGATGGAAAGTTTGTAGATGAATTTCCATTTTAGAAGCGCATCACAATAGAAGTTATTACAAGCACAAATACACGTCAAACTGGACAATTGGTGGGGTAGTTCACCATCCTGATGTTGTCTAGATAATTTTCAATCTGGAGTACACCATTTTGTGAAAGGCTGGAGAAATCCAATATAAAACTTGTATTAATTTCAGGGTTAAGTACACCTAGAAAGCCCACATATTTATACACAGAACTCTTCAGGCAAGGCAAACAGAAAACTCATAATTATCTGCAGCCCTGTTCATATGAAAAGGCACTCCATAATATGTTTTAATGGTGAATTAATACCTGGTGGTAAACTATTGATAAATCAGGGGAGCAGATGGCTCAGACAAGACATACACGCACTGTACTTTGTTAAGCACATCATTTGAAATAGGATCGTGATTTGCTCCTCTCTATCCATGGTTCAGAAATATGCCAAACTAGGGGTGCTTCACTTCCCCAGCGCCCTACCTTGTGGCCTCAGAAGCCCTCCAA